ATCCACAAAGGTAAAATTGCTTTTACCATTTGATCTACTGTATTTAAAGTACATCTAAATATTTAATCACTATAAGCCTCTGCATTAACATGTCTCAATTATTTTCTTAGTTTTCTATTACAAAGCCCTTAAAAGTGGCCATTAACTTTTCAGTATCACCCCTTGTCTGAGGCAGAGTTTGCAAACATATTCTCCCATTTTGAGGGTTGCCTCTTTACCCTAATTATTGTTTATTTTGCTGTGCTTTTTAAGCCTGATGTGGACCCACTTGTCTATTTGTGGAATATTGCCTGTGTTTTAGGGGCAAATCAAAACCACAGTGAAATACCATTTATCCCAACCAGAGTAGCTAAAATCAAGAAAATAAAGAACAACTGCTGGTGAGGCTGTGGTGAAAAGGCTACCCATCTACACTGTTGGCAGATATGTAAATTAGTACAGCCACTGTGAAGAATAGTATGGAGTTCTCTCAAAAATCTACAAATAGAACTACCAGTAATCCCACTTCTGGGTATTTACTCAAAAGATAGGGAAACAGTCAGAAAAACAGTTGCACAACCATGTTTACTGCAGCACTATTCACAACTAGTAAGACACGGAATCAGCCTAAATGCCCCCAAAACAGATGACCGCATTGAAAAAATGTGGCATATATACATTATGAGATACTATTCAGCCACTTTAAAAAAAAAAAAAAAAAAAAAGACACTAGCATTTTACACAAAGTGCATGGATATTGGAGCGTCAGTGCTAAGTGAAGCAAACCAGACTATGAAGGAGAGACACTGTGTGTCCCCCTCTATATATACAGAATGTCCACACTCTATGGCAGAAAATGAAAGATGAGAAGGTACAACAGCAGAGAGGGCAACTGTAGATACCAGAGACTGTATAGGAGGAGGTGAATAGCAGGGGTTGGGAAGGAGGGGATAGGGATTAAAAAACATTTAATATATAACATATAAAAACACATATAAATGAAAAGTCATTCGTTAACAAAGATGTATGGTAGTATCTTTCACTTAATTGATATACACTGCATCTATGTTCAAAAAAACATTTTGTACGCTGTAAAAGTGTACAGTGATTAAATATAAATTTAAGAATATAATAATAACTTTTAGAAATTTAAGTATCACCACTGGAGTAGATAATATAATAGAAAATCATCTCAGAAATGTAGAAGAGGAATGAGATTTGACTGGCAGAATGCTGTTTCCCAATCAGCAGTGACAGCACATATAGCTAGGTGCTAAGTATGTTCTTCTTGAGATTTGTTATGCAGCCTGGATCTTGCTTTCCCAGTTTTCCACCTGAGTGAGTCTATTAGGTTGTCTGTAAAGTTATGACATAGTTTTCTATGTTTTTTCTATGCAAAAATACGTCATGACTTTCCTGATGATCCAAGAGAACTTACCTAATAACCGTTCAATAAATTATTTTTTCAGCTTTAATTAGTTAGTCTCTATTGTTTGCAAGTAAAAATGCTGACCAATAAACCCCTATAAACTCCTTCAGAAAGAAAACACCTTATGCACAATGTATATTCTCAAAACTTAATATGTAAGTGGCACAAAATGAGAAGTCATTAAATATACAGTGAGTAAAGAATTGTTATTTTAATCTTAACACCAAATATAGGAACATTAAATATTATTTTTATCACAAAACTTAAAAAAATAGGGAACCAGCAGTTAGCGTAATGGCTATGTCGCTGGACTCCCACGTAGTCGACCGTGGTTCACGTCCCGGACCCGGTGGCTTAAAACTCACGCCGGGCGCGTGTGCGTGCGTGCCCAAGATCCCGAGAGGAGAATGGAGGAGAAGGGATTGCGGCGTGACCATCCCCCCTGGGGGGTGATTTCTCGCTTTCTGTCTCTATGTCTCTCTCTGTCTGTCTGGCGAGCGCACGCGCCCTACAGTGAAAATCTCTCCAAAAAAAAAAAAAAAACTTAAAAAAATAGTTAAACAGTGCAACTCTGTTTGTTTGATTCATTTTTTAGCAATTATTAAAGATTAGTAAATACAAAAAAAATAAGATTGCTCAAGAAACTAATAGGATGAGAGAAGCAGCATAAACAGAATAGCTTATACAGTTATATAAGGGTATATAACAGACTAAGGTAATAAAGCTAGTTACATAAACGTCTCACTTTCAAGAATAAAATCAAACCTATGGTATGAAATGATCTCACATTTGCTGATAATAATTGATTTTCTAGTAATAAAAAATTGCCAATGATAATAACAGCTATTTACTGAAAACGACTTAGGCCCAGCCATGGTAACAGACACTGGTTAATTCTGCTCTCTGGCAGGCTGACATCATTGGGAGGCCCAGATTGGATTCTGGATCTATTCTGAAAATCTAATGGTGTGCACCTGTAATTCCAGATACTAAGGAGGCTAAAGCAGGAGAACGGCAAATTCACAGGCAGCACGGGCAACTACCATGACCTGGTCTGAAAGAGCTGAGCATGGCAGCATGCACAGTCCCAGCTACTCTAGAATATAGAGCAAGAGGACTGTGACACTGCTAGACCATGACCAAAAGAAAAAGAAAGAGAAAGAAAGAAAGAAAGAAAAAGAAAGAAAGAAAGAAAGAAACAAACAAACAAACAAACAAACAAACAAACAAAGAGGAAGAAAGAAAGAGAGAGAGAAGGAAAGAAAGGAAGGAAGGAAGAAAGAAAGAAAAAAGGAATAATAATAATAATAAAAATCAAAGCCAGATGGTGGCTCTGCAGTAAAATCTGGCACTCTGTAAGGCAATCCCACATGAAAAGGTTCCCAATTCAAGTCCAAAGACTGAATATTCAGGATGTACATGTGCCATTCTCTAGAGCTGGATAAACACTGGAGTGGACGGATGCCTCAGGCCCTGTTGGTGATGCTGTCTTTCTTTCTTTCTTTCTGTCTCTGTCACTCTCATGGAAGAAATAAATAAACAAAATCAAAAAGGACAGTAGTAGTAAATCACTATCTTGCGATGAGGGGATTTTTTATAATGAAAGGACCTGGATACCGTTCATGAATCAGCTGATTAATCACTAAATCCATTGATCAATCACTAAAGCAGTCACCAAAGTGGCAGGTTCAGGTACATGTGCCTTCAGATGCAAGGCAGTATAAAACAGACATCAGCACACTTAACAAGAAAAAAGAAGAAAAAAAAAAAAAGAGAAAGAAAGAAAAAGAGAGAAAGAAGAATGAAAGAAAGAAGAAAGAAAAAAAGAAAGAGAAAGATGGGACCAGCAGTTAGCATAATGGCCATGTTGCTGGACTCTCATGTAGTCAATCAAGGTTCGAGTCCCGGACCCAGTGGCTTAAATTCACGCCGAGTGCATGTGCATGCATGCCCAAGATCCCGAGAGGAGAATGGAGGAGAAGGAATTGTGGCGTGGTCACCCCCCCTGGGGGGTGATTTCTCACTTTCTGCCTCTCTGTCTCTTTCTGTCCTTCTGGCAAAGATACTGAAAAAAAAAACCTAAAAAAAAAAAAAAAAAAAAAGAAAGGAAGAAGTAAAGGTCAAGCTGAATTTAATCAAATCTTTAGATTCAAATTGCCATTAACTAGAAAACCAGAAAGAGAACTTTGAAAACGTCCATAGTAACTAGTCCTTCAAAGTACACGACATTGCATGGACATCTGCTATTACTGTATGCTGGGCGGATGATGAGGTTTGCCGTCGTGGAGGCAGAAGCCACTGAAATTGGAAGTTGTGGTAAGTTCATGGCATTCCTTAAATGTCATATAAAGGAATTTGGATTTTATTCTCAAGCCAGCATTTCCAAAAAATGTTCTGACATGCTGATACATAATCTTCACCTTTAAAAGGATAGCATGAGTGTGTTTCCTTTTAAAATAAGTTTAGAAAACATATTCCTTTCAATTTGTTGAATATTAACAATATTCACTAGCATGCCATTATAGAACTAGCTACTGAAATTTAACACTGCATTTTCATAGTGAAAGAATTATTTTTTGAGAAAGTATCTGTTATCTTGTGAGAAGCAAACCTAGAAAACGCCACAGTAGACGAAAATGCAAAAGAATTTTAGAAAAATGTGGCATCTTGCTGTGTCCAGTATTTCTAAAAGACACAGATGGTTCTGTGACCTGGTGGTTAAGATGCCTAGATCCATATGGCCAGCCTCTTAGCTAGAAGTTCAAATTTGACAGCTTGAAAAAAAAAAAAAAAAAAAAAACACTGGGCTTGAGTGTAGGGGGTGCCTAAAAGTTCCAAAAAAAAGGGAAAAGTAGAGAAGAAGGTATTACAGCAGGACTGTTTCCCATCGGGGGGAGGGTGGTGCTCTGTCTTCTCTCTCCCTGTCTGGGTCTCTCTGGTGAGCACATGTGCCCTCCAAAAATAATAATAATAATAATAATAATTAATTAATTAATTAAATTCTAGTGGCAGTGAATTGGTAAGGCAATACAGGAGAAGATGGATAGATCAGGTTTGAGATGATGAAGACATGAACAAACTAAGGCACTGACAGGATAAAGGTGGGACCCAAAACACAGCAGATATCAATAGAAACGTACTGCAAGACTTTATGAGGACCACAGTAAAATCATCAGGCAATAATACTGAACTTTGTAAACTCAGATGAGTGGGGTGTTGGCCCTGCCATTATGATCCATGGCTGTGGCAGTAGAATATACTTGGCAGGAGAGTCACAAAGCTCTGTAATGAAATACCTTGATCGAATACAAAAGTGCCTCCAAAAAGTTCAAGAAAATGTGAATTATGAAAAAAAAAATACGCATGGATTTCAAAAAATGGTTACACCCAAATAATCACGTTCTTCGATCCATTTTCCATGGACTTTTGTAGTCTCCTTGTATGTAATACCCTCTGATGTAAAATTCAGACTTTCTCATGGGCACAGTATTAGCAAATTATTCAATGTTAAGAAATGTATTCTACCTAAGGATTTTTAAGGGATTTGTGTTCCCCTTCTAAACTTACTAAGTCATATTCTGGTCCTACTCACCCGCAAGGCCTATAAGTGAACACAATATAACTCTCTTCATCACTTCTTTCAATGAAAGTCACACAGGTGTGCTTTTCCCAGTGCCTCATGGCCTGCTTGAACATGGCTCGCTGGCTGCCTGGAAAAATGGGATGATGTTAATAAATAAGTGTTTGCAACAGGGAGAAGGACAAGGTGCTGGATCCTCCATCCTGAGTCTGCCTGAGTGGTTCAGAATGCCACCCTATCATCAACCAAAGAATACTAGTTTATAGCACCACAAATGACTCACTGTTAAGAATGGACACTCACTTTATAATCAAAAGGTTAAAGCTTGCTATCTCTACAAACATGTGTGGACAAGGCTCTATAAATGGGACACACATTCTTCCTGTCAGTCGAAGGGAAATCAGCTTCCAGATTTACTGGGCACCTTTGGAACTTGCTTTAAAAACAAGAACAGTGCTTTAGACCCTTAGAACACATGATTAAAGATTTTTTTTTTCTTACAATTTCAAAGATATTCAAAATTCATAGCCTAAGTTAATGGTGTATTTTTCCAAGTTTGATTTCATACCTTTTTCTATATTAGTATTCTATAACAATACACACATTCTGGAAGATAGTTTTTGTTTCTTTATCAAAATCGACACTCTGGGAGTATCTTACCAGTGAAGTTGCCTCCTATAACGTAAGGAATAACGCCTCCAGGCCATATTCTTTCAGTTCTTGATGTCGCAGCTCGGGCAACTCGATTTTTCTCATTTGCTCCTGAGAATTTTAGAGGTACTTTTCCCTTAACTGTGTTGTTTTGCTCCAATCCTGCAGTGACATTTAAAACATTCTGTGAAACAGAAGTCCTTGGTCAGGGAATCATTTACCTCTTAAAGGACAAAAGTTGAAATGTCATATTTACATATTTGTATAAATATGTCTGAAGTCAAAATGCATAAAAGGAAAACTTCAGTTATCTTACATACTTGAAATAAGTAGTAAAATAGTTAGGTATTTTTATATCAAAGAACTATTCCTTTATGCTCCATGAGCAAAGTTTGATGATTTTCCATATGCCATCCTGCAGAAGACAGAAGTCAGGCATTTTTATAGGTCACAGAAAGCTTGTTTTTATAGGTTTTTCTAGCTTATTAGCTCACTACCAACTCACTACCAATTATTATTACCAATTACCTAGATTATTAAAACACCATTTTATAAAAACCATGAGACCTGATGGTAATAGGAAAACACAATGCTCTGTGAGGCAAGACTACCTGGGAAAGTTTCTGTTAAAATCCAGAAACCTGGGGTCAGCAGGTAGCGTGGTGGTTAAGAGCACTGGACTCCCACATGGCCAACCATGGTTCAAGTCCCGGATCTGGTGGCTTGCTTTCTCACTTTCTCTCTCTCTCTCTCACTCTCTTTCTCACTCTCATTCTTGCTCTGTCCCTCTCTGATGGAAATAAAAAAATAAATAAATGCATAATGTTAAATAAAATAATTCTTAAAAATAATCCAGAAACCAGCCTGAGTTAATATTCCATAACAAATACATACATCCTGGGAGATAACACTGAGCATGCACACATGAGCCCATGACCTAGGGTGGGCCAAAGACTGGGGATGGATGATAGCCTAAATATCTATTGAGGGTTCTCTCGCTCTCTCATTCATGAAAGACATAAATAAAAATAAACTTAAATAATAAAATCCCATGATATTCAAGATTTTTTTTAGTCTTGCTAAATTCCTAATCCTTTAAATCAGAATTAATATTCTGAGATGCAGCCTAAAGTTATGGATATGCAGATATAGATAATAAGCAGGAAAGGAATAAGGCAGATATAGTCCCAGCTGCCTGGGGCAATGGGCTATCTGCTCTCATACCCAGGTATGAGTCTGGATCAGAGATTGGTATGCAACAGGAGCATAAAATGCAGTCTGTTCTGGGATGGCTTTCACATCAATAGTCCTTCACTTTTCTTGGGGGCCTTTCATAATATTTTCACTATTGTTTGGGTTTTTCCTTAACTTGTGTGATTATCATTTTCTATTGATTTCTCAGCATTGATGCAAATACCTGACACAATAAATATCAAATGTGCATACCCCTATCCTTAGTGTGTCTATCTTTTCAAATCCTGGAATAAAGCTTTGTAACTTTGGAAAACTATTCTTTGAAAGTATGTACTCCAAGTGTTGAATGAATAATTCATCAATATAAGGGATCTTAGGACATGAACTGTGACTAGAGAACTTTTAAAAAACTTAAAAATCTACAAATAGTGGTTAATAAATTTAACACTATAAATATTAACTATGAAAGCAATTTTTCTCCGAATGTTTACATATATATTATTTTGAATAGTCAAAAACATTTTAAAACTATTTTGTAACTTAATAAATCAGTTTGTCAATTTCAGTGGATTTTATTTCCACAGCAGTAACTATGAAATGTTTCTTTTGATGAAAAAGTATGCAGTCCCATGCTTTTTAAAAACATCTTGACGTGATATCCAATTCACTGAAAATAAGTATTAAAGGAATAACCCCCTAGTTTAATTTTTGAATAAGAGATATATTAATAAACAAAGGAAAATTTCAAAATGTCCCAAATAAAGCCCAATATAAATGATAATAAATACAAGCTAACAGAATAAAAATGAAAGACTCAACATTTATCTTTTAGATAGTTTGCATTGAGATACTTTGCCTCTAACTGGCACACTGATTTTAATAAGCTGAACTGCTGTGAGTATAGTATTTACTATACATTAAGCCAGGCATCTGCAACTTTAAACATTGATATACCAGAGCCAATTCTTCTTATCCGGTCTATAAGTTGGTAGAGGGCCCCTCGCTTCTTTGATATACCATGGTCTCCAAGTCCACCTTAGAGAATAAAAGAAAACAATTAAGCTAAGATCAATGTACTTTAAGGTTCTTGTAAATAAACAATAGTAATTAGATTAATAATAAGACTATGCTTATTCCTCCGCAGACTTTGTTTTTTAAATGTGGTCCTAAAATCTTAAGAGATAAAGATACCCATGAATCTTTCAGGATGGTAAGAATTTCACAGCAACTAATGTTGAGGGGATGGGGAGTTCGGATAGAAATGCAGATGACTTTATTTGGACATCTTGACAACTGAGTCACAGATTGATCATTCGAAACATTTTTCTTCTCTGTGACCTTGACATCACCCAGTGCTACATAGAATGACAGCAAGTTGTTCTGCCCTGTTGACTGCATTCCAGCTATGTTCCCAATGCACATGGAATATTTTCAGATGCCAAATCAGCAAATGGAAATAAAAACATCAGAAGAGCATTGTGTAGTAGAAATGTTGCACAAAAGCATTAATCAATTTTGAAAACGTTTTTTAAGAGAGATTTTTGCTGGAGAGATGAGAGATAGCAAGAAATTGTTCCCCAAAACTCCCAGGGGTATGGCAATGCCTCAGTCCCTTCTCCTCTAGTCTCCTCTTGGGATTTTGGGCATACGCCCAGCATGAGTTTGAAGCTAACAGGTCTGGGACTCGAACCACATTGGATCATGTAGGAGTCCAGCAATGTAACCATTACACCGTCTGCTGGTCCCAATTTTGAAAACTTAACACATGGGACCAACAGATGGCATAATGGTTATTTTTGCTGGACTCCCACATAGTCACAGTAGTTCAAGTCCCAGACCTGGTGGCTTAAAACTCACACTAGGAGTGTGTGTGTGCGTGTGTGCCCAAAATTCTGAGAAGAGACTAGAGGAGAAGGAATTGCGGCATCGCCATCCTCCCTTGGCGGTGATTTCTCACTTTCTGTCTCTCTCTGTCTCTCAGGCAAGTGCACTTGCCCTATAGCAAAAATCTCTCTCTGGAAAAAAAAGTAATTAACACATAATCAGAAAGAAGGCAGAAGGTAAGAATCTAAATGGGTGTACAACTGCAAAATACATTCCGTTGCACTTCATTATGTGTATTTGTTTAACATATAAAAATAAATGTAAAGAATGTTATAGCACAAAAGGAAAAGGAAAGTATAAGAATAGAGAAATATGTCTTCTTTTATTTCTACCAAAAAAGACTTTAAAAGGTAGATCCCTGTCATAAGTCAGAAGCAGAGAATTTGGCAAAAGTCCAACTCCCCAAATTCTTTTTCCAGGGCTTTCATGAATACTGCTACCAAATTTTGTCTCCTATTTTTCTAATCTCCTTAAATTTTTAATAAACAAATAAGAACGAGACATCATTGAACAAAAAAAAACAATATAACCACTAATAACATAAGAATGAATTCAGATGAATTTGTACCACTATTCATGTTTATGGTTAAGAGCTTCTTTGGAGCTAAAACAATAAAAGATAGCTAGAAATCTGGAGAGACAACAAACTTCTCAGACTCCAAACTATTTCCTTCCAATATCTCTTTGTCTTTTGAAATGAATAATGAAACCTATTACCTACAATGAAGCTAAAAAATAATAATAATAACATAATTTATTGCCATATAAGCCTTTTCTTAAAGGAAAAGCCTAATATATCCTTATAAGGCAAGTAAGAGTGCTTGTTCACTGACTAATAATCTACTTAATTATTTGCATTATAGAGTCACATTTTGGCTGTGTATCTTGAGAAAAATTTTTGAAATTTTTTTCATTAAACATTTTAGAAAGATGAAGTAATACTTAGATGTACTCATTCCTAAGTGGTTACAAGAAACATTTTTAACATATGGCATATATGTGTTTAAAATGACTACTATGTAGCAATGGTATTTATATTAGGTAGGCCTAAAACACATAAATATAGAGATATAAGCTGGATAATTATGAGAAAAAAACTCTTCCTTAATGTTAAGGTAACTTTTAAGCATAAGAATAACTGTAGAATTGTAAAAACAAGGTTTTAAGAATATCAAAGGCAATTTTAATAGTATTTTTAATAATGTTGAATAAACTTTTATAAATTTAAATTAAATCCCCTTGTAGATAGTTTGCTGGAGTAGAAATAAAAATAAACAATTTTCTCACAGGTTCTAAAATACAATAAAAATATTCAAAACAAATAAATTCAGGAAAGACTATACATTTTGAAACTGAGAAATAAGAAATATAGTCAAATCAAAACAATTAACCAGAAAGGTTAAAAGACAAAGTAACAAGAAAGAAAATACAGGAGACTTCTACACTGTTAGAATTCCAATTGTAGGGTGAACATTACTATCAAACTTTCACATATATATTATTATTATTAACAGTGTAATCATTTATTCTGTATGTGTTCAATCATAGCATTTTCTTCCTTCAATTACTATCAAAGTTTAAGTATAAATTAAATGACAAAAGTAAATGATAGCATTGAAAATCTTTATATAACAGGAAAGTCATGCTTCCTAAATAATGAGAAAAGAGATAAAATAAATAACTTAAAGCTTAAAGGTAATGAAAATGTTAATAAAAGATGAAAACACAATTTACAATTAATCTAGAATTTTGTTTGCTCTACTGTCCAGAATAAATTTTCTTTATAACAGTTTTAAAAGTAATACTGCAATTGGAGAGTCTGTCAATAAACATATTCAAAAAGAATATGCTATCTGTAATTACACTGGAAAGCAAGATTTTTCCCTTTACACTGGTATATATTTCTGAAAAGACTGTCACTATATCGAAAACAAAGGCTAAAGAATACCATTTTTAAGTGTATGCTATTATTTTAAATAAATTCCTCAGGTTTTATCTCATATACTTCTTACTTTTTTAAAAGCTTCTTAGACATGATAATGGTAGTTTAGTCATACAGGATAATGTCATTATTCTTATAAAGCACATGCTGAACTACCTCAATATTTAATATTAATATTAAATAATAAATTAATATTAATATAATGTTACATTGTGTTTTAATTATTTAATATTAATATTACATATTTTCTGCAATTAATTTCAGATGCTGTTTTGTACCTACTCATGCATATATGCGTGCATGTACAGCAACTAAGGTGATTTGTTAACCACTGCTGAATCTGCAAAGTAGGAATACCACTATACTGGTGTTCCTTGTACTAACTGGCCTATTACCCATTTGTTTGAAATTTGTCATAATAAAGAGTTACCAAAAAAGTAAATTGTGCAAAGAGATATTGACTCACAATAAAAAGAGTCTTGCTAGATGCAAGAAAAGAAAAATCTATTTTTTTCCATGCAATGGAAGAAGAAAATACAGGCAATGAAATGAAATAATGCAATAAGATCTAAAAAGCATGATGTGGGACCAGCAGTTAGCATAACAGATATGTCGCTGGACTCCCATGTAGTCGACCGCGGTTCAAGTCCTGGACCCGGTGGCTTAAACTCACGACGGGCACGTATGTGTGCGTGCCCAAGATCCCGAGAAGAGAATGGAGGAGAAGGGATTGCAGTGTGGCCATCCCCCTGGGGGTTGATTTCTCGCTTTCTGTCTCTCTGTCTCTCTGTCTCTCTGGCAAGCATAGGCGCCCTATAGAGAAAACATCTCCAAAGAAAGAAAAAAAAAGCATGATGTCAGGGCGGTTACATTGCTGGATTTCCATGGAGACAACTACAGTTTGAGTTCCAGACCTAGTGGCTTAAAACTCAAACTGGGAGCATGTGTGTGCATGCCCAAAATCCCAAGAAGAGAGTAGATGAGAAGGGATTGCAGTGTGGCCATCCCCCCAAGGGGTGATTTCTTGATTCTGTCTCTTGGTCTCTGTCCAGAAGCACACATGACCTATAGCAAAATTCTCTCTTTAAAAAAAAAAGAAAAAAGCCTGATGTCAGGTAAAATTTTTTAGCTATCATTAAAGAAAGTAATTCTAACCTTTTAACAATTTGCCTCCAAAATAAAACTCAATATAATAACCTTACCAAAATAATATTAAGAATTTTTATTTTTATTTAAAATGTTTTGAAATGAAAACCAAAATAAGATTTCAAATATTTCAAGTCTCATATAGGCATAATTCAAACATGTTTAAGACAATTAAAATTGAGACTGTCTTCTGTGGCTTTCTTAAAAATTATGAAAATATAGATAGGAATTCTTCTAAACAGACTTATATATTATTGCTTCAAGAATAATGTGCACCTTGGAACTCAATACCTAAATGGGAGATAACTGAACATAATGTTGGTACATAATTTGGTCTTTCTAAGAACTGAATTCTGGTTCTAACTGTGTACTTCCTGACTATGTGACAATAAGAAAGCTTTATAGTATTCTAAACCTCAATCTTTTCACTGGCAAATCACAATAATATCAACACCTACCCATATGACATTGTTATAAGGATTCAAACAGTTAATCTCTGAAGGCACTTAGATCAGACCTGGTAAACTGTAAACACTTAAATGTGCTTTTATATAACTAATTAATTAAATAAAAACTAGGACTAAAACCTAAATTTCTGAATACCCCAGAATTAAAAGTTGATTAGCAGACATTAAAGATGACCAAAGAGCATTTATAGCATTTTAGGAGTATATTTTTACCAAAATTTACACAAATTTAATCAAATAACCACTGTACCTGTGGTATGTCCAAGTTTTCCAAATGGGTTCTGTGTCAGGTCAATTGTCCTGTCTATTTGAAAGATATTTAAATCTTCATCATCTAAGGCAATATCACCCCAAAATACAGCTAAAAAAGAAAAGTAGAATAAAAAAATGTAAAATATTTCAGAGTAAAACCAATGCAAGCAAACTAATTAAAGAAACAGCTAAAAATGTGAAAATGGGGTTCAACTAGATAAGAAACACGTTTCAACAAATAATCATAACAATATAGTGGAGCTGTTACAGTATAATAATTAGTCACCGATGTAAGTGCATGACCCCATTTTTTTACTTTGATGTTTGTCAGGAGGGGGAAAGA